CAATTTCCATCGATCTAGTATTGTCATGAGACAGTTTGTTGTCATCAACACCCTTTCCCTCAAAACCATGAGTGGTTATAGCTCGCTAATTAGCTTCATGTCTTTTCTTCTTCTTCTTCTTTAATAAGAAATTTCGACTGTAATTCTGCGGCTCAAAGAGGAACCATTTTTTGACTCTGGGTGAATTGTTCTTCATAGGGTAAACTGGCGATCTTGTTTGCTGGAGAAAAAAAATTACAAAAGGCAAATACATTCATGTTCTAGCTAATTTTAAAAAGGAAATTTTCCTAGGAAATCGGAAAAGGAAAGCATATTTTGTAATTTAAATTGTATTAAGAATAAAACAAGGGTTATTAGATGGTAAAGATGCCTCAATTTTAGGAGTCATTTTATTTAATAATTATATTCGACTGTAATATATATTTTTATTTTTAAAAAAAGCAAAAAGAACTTTTTAATTTTTTAAAATGAAAAACATAGGTTTATTGAACACAAATTTGCAGGAACATCGAAAAGACTGAATCTATCATACAGGTCGTAACAAGAAGAATTAAAAGCTAGCCCGAGCCTATCACACTAATACTGTATATTAATTTTTATGTGGTGAATACCTTTTATAATTTTCATTTATGATTAACATTATTTATAATTTAAAATTCATAAAAAACTTTAAATTATTAACAAAATCAAGGTATAGGCAGGGAGTTTGACCATTAATTTTTGAGTTTTTTACGAATTTTAAATTATGAAAAATGTTGACTAAGAGTAAACATTTTTCAGGATGTTGACCGTAGAAAAAAAATGTATAAAATACAAATATAGGGTTTGATAAAAAATAAAAGAGTTGTACGCTTGCACCTGGTTCTTCGGGTTAACTGGCACTTTGCCAGTTTGAGGTGCATTCTTCCTCCCCCATGGGTGGGTTTCGAACCCGTCCCTTAATAACTTGTTCAGAAAAAAAAAAAAAAAAAAGTTGTACGCTTGAAGGTCATACCGAAAATTTGAAGGTGAAATTTTGGCACAAGGGAAAAGTATTGCCAAAAATCAACAAATTTAAATAGGTGAAGAAGAGTGACTAGTGAGTGGTGGCTATATTAATCAATGGAGACTTTGGAGTGTTATTTTGATTGTGGCTAGCTGAGTCATGACCAGCATGAACTACCGTTTAGTTTGACTTGGGCTAGCAATCCTCATAAATGAAAGAGAATCCCCACAATGCGAATATATATGGTGCAAGATGACTAAAGCCAAGACATGTGGTAATCTTAAGGCTTTTTAGTTAAGGACGGCTTTTTAACTTTCAGGACCTTTAACTGTTTAACAATCATTCTCAGACCCACTAGCAGCGTGTTCAATTTTAACCTTTGCTTTAAATTACCGATATTTTTATCTCTCTTTTGGCTTGTAAATAGTTAGGGCACTTTTGGACTTGTTTGAGTGGTGGTAGGGACTATTTTTAATTTGGTCAAATTATGAAAACAAGTTAAAATTTAAAAACTTCTCATAGGAAGTTAGGTGTAGTTAAAGTTTAATCTCTAATTTTTCTTTTACTTTAACGAAGAATCAGGTAATACCTATTTCTTAATAATAGAATGAATACTTATTTCTTTCATGTGTTAGTTTAGTAGAAAATTATTAATGTTAAACCTTAATTATTTTTAACTTTTAAGTTTAACATATTTTTATAGTTTGACAAAAAATAAAAATAATTACTACCACCAACTAAACATGACATTTGTTACTGAAACTAGACCACAGGCACATATCCATTTCAGTCCCTTAATTTCGAATTGGTGAAGCTTTTTTTCAATTTCATATCACAATCTTAGCCAAGTCAATTATGTCTCTATCATTCCAACAATGTATCTTAGCCAAGACCGTCATGTCTCTATTAGCCAAATGTCCATTCAAGACATGATCATATGTCTCTATCATTCCCACAAACAACATCTTCAAAAGTAAACTTTTTCTTTAATAAATTGTTGATATTTTGATCTCAGTTTTGGCTTATAAATAGCTCTGGCACTCTGTTGCTGAAAATAAACAATAGGCACCCACCCATTTCAATCCATTATTTCGAACTAGCGAAGTTTGTTCTTGTTGGTGTAGTTTGTAATATTATTATCATTTTTTAAATTGAGGGGAGTTACAAGATTAAATTTAAAATGTAATTCTCAATCTGTTGAATTGAGTGTGAGTTATAAGGTGAAATGTAACTCTTAAGCATTATGAGTGTTATGATTTCTTGATATGAATGAGTTAATGGATTTGAGATTGTTTAATATAGTTTTATTAGCTAAATGGTGGGGGAGGATTGCAAAAGGGGAAAAGGGACTTTGGCATAATGTGTTGGAGATTAAGTATAGCATTTCTAGGAGAAAATGGGAGATTTGTATGAGGGATTGAAATAGGAGAGGATCGCTGTAGTGCTACCAATGGATCAAAGAAAATCAATCACCCCCAGCCGCCAGGCAAGCTTATATTGTTCAAAATTCATCGTGTTGGAGCTTTTCTTTAAACATAGCTGCTCTACAACTTTTGGGTAGTCTTACTTTTGTCTAATGTTGCCTAAAGATTACACTAACTATTATATATACAGTTTTATACTTTCTTTGAATTCATCATACTACCAAGCTACCATGTTGTCTTTGGACAATGTAGGCATTAACATCAATTAATTTCTCTGCCTAATTAGTTATTAGTAATTTCTTAAGTATGTATATCCATTTTTAGTAGAGATATTCAACTCAAATGTTGAACGGAGCATGTATCTTTATATATTAGGGCAAGGGTACAAAATGTCGGTTGGTAGAGCAATTATAAAGCTCATTACATTACATAAAGAAGAGAAATGCAGTTAATAGAACTAAAGGACTATGGTAGCAGAAGGGGCACGTTTGCGAGCCAACAATGTCACATGCCAAAGTTATCTGCATCTATATAATTGGTGTCCCAAGCTGTTTGCTTGGACAAAAAGCTTGTTCCTATTCTGGTAGATATGTTGCAAACGGCCTACAACAATTGAAAAGCTAATTGTTTGTTAATTCCAGCTTCAAGGAGAGCCGAATTCCGAGAAATGATGGTCCCCACCCGCCGATTACTGGATTGGATCAGAAACATCATGACTACGCTTGTGAGTATCGAGCTCCTCCTCTTGCATACCTAGTTCCTCAACCTTGCTAATAATTTAATTTCTGAATTGTTGTTCTGTTTCAGAATCAATACTGGGATATTCTACAGGAATCCTTACAATGTGGCGGGCATTTATAATCGTAGTTCATATCCTCTTGAAAACAGTCGCTATGCCACTATTCCTTAACCACGATGGTACCTTTATGCTGTTGTTTCATTTTATTTTGCCTGCTTTTTAGCTGCTGAGATAATGATGAAAAAGAGATGAGTGTTGAATTTGGTTATTGATGTTTTAGCTTTTTTAGGTGCATTAAAAAATTTAAGCTCATTTCTGATGTTAGGTTCAAAAGTTAGGATTTAGATTCACTGTCTTTTCTTCAGTTTTAGGAATCTAAGTAGAAGCTCTTTCATAATTATGCGAAGCACGAGCTGGTT